TACTTACTTACTTACTTACTTACTTACTTACTTACTTACTTACTTACTTACTTACTTACTTACTTACTTACTTACTTACTTACTTACTTACTTACTTGGAGTAACTCTAGCCTAGTTTTACTAATTCTTTCAAATCGTTTTTCTGGTTGTGTCAGTTCGTGCGCTGTCTCTATAGGGCTTCGTTCATAACTCCTGGTCCTCGATTGCAAACAAATTCTGCCAGAACTGTCTTCCCCTGTTCTTGCCACTTGCTTGCTAGAGCTATAAGCTCTACCCGCGACTTTATGCCTTTCGACTGGAATATCCGAACCACGTCGTAAACTCCCAAGAGTTTCATTTTGTTTTTACTAGCAACTCGTTTCTTAGAATTCGTCTTACGTTTTTGAGTTGCATTCGTCGTTCGAGATGCCGTGGCATTAGCGAGGTCTGGGTGATTCTTACATAATCTGCGTCCTCTTTGACTACGTACGTAAACGCAGTAAAGTAATTGGCGTGTAATTATCTGAAAAGTTCATTTTGATACCATGTTGGCTATCAACGAAATTCCTGACCGCGAGCCATCTTGTTTTTTTTTGTCGAGTTTGACTGCCATATGAAAATGCTTTCCACCGTCCTCGTGCATTTCTTCACTTACTATACCCACTGTAGTATATTTGAGCGGCAGCATTCATTGCACGCATTCACTATTAATTTGGAAAACTCTTGTCTATCTAAACCCGAATCTATAGGTTATGAGATAAACAGTTGATCTTTGTTTTGGAGTTTGAGAGAAAATCGCTTGCGCATTCAATGAAGACATACTCGAATATGATACACCTTTAGGTTTACCGGAACTTCATGATCAAGATGCATGATGTCTAAGATGCAATCTAAACTTTACATTTTTAACAAACGATTGTTCTTCTGTCCTTTTAAATCTTATAAACATGTACGAAGTTTGATTGATTTTTAGCGTTGCGCATTTATAGCTATACAAGAGTTAAATCTTTTTGAACGTAACGATAGTACCCTAGCCCATCCTCCCACATTTCCTGACAGGCCCTTATATAGGTTCTTATATGCACGCTTTTACTTACAATTATGGTGGAATATATACTAGTAATCATTAGTTGAGTTTGGTTACATCATATAAGTATTTGTGATCAAAATCTTTTATAAACTAGCCTAAATGTCTTAGGGGTGTTTATATGGAAGCAAGCCAGCCAGTTTACCTGAGCTATAGGTAGCTTTGCCTAGCTAACTTCATCATGTGGCAGGTTGGCACCAAAACAAACGTCACAACTGTTCACAGAAGCATTAATTTATAAATTATAGATAAAAAATCTGTTGAGAAAGTCTTATTTACTACAATTAGTACAATATATTCGTGTATTCAGCGGCTTAGGCAAACCAGCCCAACTAGGCAAAATCTGGGGCTCTGTCGGGCTTCACAAATTAAACTTAGGGCCTTAGGCAAGCCAGCCTGGTTCTCATATACACTGACAATACGAATATTAGTATAAATTATCTGGCAACATTACATCTCGGCCAAGCGAGCTAGTTCAGGCACCCGAGCTGGCTTATCTCCATATAAACACCCCATTATGTCAAGTACTGTAACTTCAGAGCAACCAAAAGGCATTTAAACAGTTATGTGCTGTGATCAAATTATAATATACTTTGATCAGCGAAACTTTTTTATGTGTTTCTATTAAGTTTTAAGTGAGCACAAGTTGTCCATGAGCAGACAATCAAAGATAGTAAAGCACTGCCACAGCCAAGTAGATTATCACTGTGACAATAACACGTCTATATAAACAGCCATCCAAAAATTCCAAACATGTTCACTCCAAATTGTTCATTATTTTTTCATCGACAACTCACTACTCAAGAGTGTCATATCTTTAGACCTTTTAAATAATTATATTATGGGTTTCAGTTTGTAAATAAAATAGATAGAACAGTTCGTATAAAACGATAGTGAAATAGCATAATAATGAGAATTTTATAGTCATTAAGTTAAAACCTCGATTGACGGGCTTCAACAAGCGATTTCTCTGAAGGATCAACATTGCAGCTATGTTGGGAGCAATCTCCAATCCTTCTTGGATTCTTTTCTTGACAACCTTTGGTAGAAGCTTGAGGATGTACCGATGTAGGTATACCATCGAGGAAAACAATAAAATAGTCAAATAGATACACTTTGATACACTTTCGATACATCCTTGCTAGCGTAGAATCCTTTCCTACTCGTCATGTCGCCTCAATAACTCGTTATTTGACGGATTGTCGCTCAAAAAAGCTCAAAATATTTTGGAAACTTCTTCACTCCTTGGGCTACACTTGCGATAAAAACAACGCGCGTGGTATTGCCAGAAATGAGACTGGACCGAGCACAAACAGAGGATGACAACTTCTGGTGTCTCCCCACATAAACAAAAGTCCAGCACATGCGCAGATGCGACTGTAACCTACCTTTAAATATGTATAAATAGTTTTCTAATCCTTATTTTTAAACTGTATGTCTACTATTGTCTTGTACTAGTATACTTATCAGTAGTATAAATGCTGACTTGCTCCTTAATTTGACGATATATAAAAAAACGGCCTCATCTAAGAAACGGCCTCATCCACATTAACAACGTTCCCCAGTTTGAATACAATCTCGTGAGCTCCTAACCCATCGTAACTGTAAGCTCAACATTATTCTCACTGGGAGTTTTCTGTCACAATACTATATACTTTGAATATTTATGCATGAGATGATCAATTAGTCATCCATATACACCACGTGATTGTCAGACAGTATAAAAGTAGCAAAGAATCGGTATCTTTTGAGCATTTGCGGATTTGCCACCGAAAAGGAAGGAAGGCGCTGAAAGTTTTTGGTCATCCAAGTCACACGTGTCGTAGCCGAGCCCGGCCTTTGGAATTTAACGAAATGCCTTGCTTACACAGAAACACGATAACGCTCATGCACCATACAATTTGACTTGTCGATATTTGATGAATTTTAGACTCCGCTAATGCTTTCGTTTCTCTGGGTGTAAATAGCCGGGGGGAATTAGTTGAGGGGATTATGTTGTGTATACAGTATAGTGTAGTATGCTTTTTGGCAGCAAAAGTACATTTAATTAACCCATGAAATAGCACGCAAAGCATCGTTCTTTTAAAACGCCATGCTATAAACATAGTTGGCAGTTGCCGAACTGTTCATACCATATGTCTCCGTGTCAATTATCTTATTGTCAAATCATATTCAAACAAAAGGTCTACAACCGTAAAAATGACAGCCAATTAAAAGCCGTAAAAATAACAGCCAATCAGATTGGAAATTTGTCATTTGAAACGCCATCAAAAACGTTGAGCGCGAATCCAGCATCGTCTCATTCAATAATTGAAAAAAAATACAAAATCTCGCATTTCAAATTTGTTTCGTACGTTAAAATATTGTTAGTATATAGTAAAAGTATCGTAGATTTAATTCCGTGATTATTTTAGCGTAGTTGTAAAGATATTTGAAGTATTTTGGATTGTTTGAAGGTATATGTATCGTTAGTTTGATTGCATTTGCCTACCTTAGGAAATAATACAACTATACAATGCCTCCCCCGCGCGCAGGCAGGCAACCATAACATTGGGCTCTCTATGCATAAATTCGCTATGTTATAAATTGTTTGTAATAAACAAATTCAGTATATATAGTGTAAGACCAGCCAGAAATCAACAGACCAGGCATACAATGTATACAAAACATACCAAAAAAACTGCATCGTTACTGGCTTATATAGCATCATGAATGCAAAGCATTCTGGTCGGCTAACAGCAATGCATTCTGGTCGGTTAACAGCAGTTCATTCTGGTCGGAGAAACGGAAGTAAAATCTTACTTTCAGAGCCTAATACGAATTAGAACTGCTGACTTGCTCGTTCGCTTCAGGCTCGCTCGCTGCGTCAGCAATCAGGTTGGTCTTCACATGGGACTGATGTCCTGTTGACCATACCTCCAATCATTGTTATAATTTTGTATGATTGTAAAGTTAATAAATAAATTAAGAACTCGAGAAGCATTCCATGGAAGCATTCCTTCAAACTGGGCACACAAACGATTGCTTTCAAATATTCTGGAATCATAAACGCTTTCGGACCATCGAATAACAATGTTTCGAAATTGTACATTCCTGAAACTGCTTGAAAAGAATTGAGAAAAAAACCTTTCGGTTCCTAAACAGTTCTGCGTTTTAAAATCCTAGCTTGGCATGGAATTTTTATATACGTCCAGCCAACCGTCCCAACAACGTTCGGAAATGCACATATTCTTCAGAAGTCAAATTTAATTTGTGGTAGCAAATCAGCCGCGGTGAATTGAAGTTATTGAACATAATTATTTTTAGCGAGCAATTGCCTCTGATATACTTGTTTAATAATTCGACTTTCAAACGGTTGAGATATGTCACAGAGGTCTCCACATGCCAGCTGAAATGTACCAGTTGCATAATAACGTAATAACAAAACCTTTATGTCCGCTAGAATTGGATTCCTCGTTCATTATGACCATATATATAGCTGGCCATATCATGTTTAAGATCTCCCGAAAACCATCCTTTGTTAATCTAAATCTGATTCGAAATTCCTTTTCATCATACATTTCACAGTTGAAATTTAAAATGGAGTTCTATTTTGATTTCTATTATATTCGGCGGAATATTGTCCAAATGTTGTAATCGGTTAAGCCAAACAATTCGCCATGCTGTTCATCATTACTTCACGTGATCGAGTATGGTTCAAGGGAGGTATACGCTACTCTCATACTCCACTCAAACTCGACCTCTATTTTGGAGGCGTGTGCCGTTTGTGAATGGTGTGAATGACGTTTCCCACTCAATTGGAACGAAAAATTGAAGTGTGTATCAAGTCAAGACTCGGGGTGTCAATATCTTGTGACTTATCCTGGAATTCTCGCATTGATCAAATTACAGCTAGAGCAAACCGAATGCTTGGATTTTTAAAAAGAAACTGTTCAAAAGACATGTCTCGTAATGCCCTTAAGTCCCTTTATATTGCAATTGTTAGATCTCGATTCGGTTATTGTAGCCAATTGTGGGCCCCCAGTCCGTTATACGTAATATCTTTCTGCTGGAGTCTGTTCGACGTAGATCAACTAAATTTATATGTGGATATACGGAAGCAAACTATCGTGATCGACTTGTCCAGCTAAAGCTATTACCTGTCAGCTACTGGCTGGAATACTTAGATCTAATATTCTTCTTTAAGTGTAAAGTGGGCATATATTCTATAGATTTATCTAATCACTTAACGTTTTGTGCTGGAGTTACAAGGCGCTCGTCTTCAGGTCTGTATTTACGACAAAACTGTATTCCAAAAACCTCCAGTTTTAGAGATTCTTATTTCATACGTATTGTAAATATTTGGAATGCTTTACCTAACAATATTAAGGCTAGTAGTTCCTTAACTGGGTTTAGAGTGAAGTTGAAAGAATTCTATTTTGAAAGGTTACGATCAGTGTTTGATGGGGACAACATCAGGTCGTACAAAATTATTTGTCTAAAATGTCGTAGTGTCAACACCATGAATTTATGTACTTGTTGACTGACTTTGATTTTAGTGTAATTGTAAGAGTGCG